CTAGATAGTCTCTTTCTTTGTAGTTGCCTTTTTCCCTAGCTGCTTTTAGGTGCTGTCCTTAAATCTCTGGTAGGTAACATCTGACTCTCTGTTCAGAGCTACAGGAAGTTCAGAATCCTTGGGTAGGACTTGATGATTATTATTACCTTCATTGTAGGGTGATGTATCTGAGACCCTTTGAGAAATCCCAAGGTTCCCCAGAGAAAAGTCCCTTCACTTAAAATTCCAGGGAGTCCTCATGTGTCTTTTTCCTTGGTGAATCACAAAAGCACATCCAGACACTTGCAGTGAGTTTAAAAGCCATATCTAATTTCACCTGGAAACATAACATGTTTTTTTTTAGGTACTGGCATTTCACAAGTAAAGAGTTTTTGTTGTTGCTCAGTGTTGTGAAGATACTCCTAACAGCATTTATCGAAAAATTAGGAAAGATGATATTAAAAATATATTCTAAATTATATATGTATATTTTTTAAGACAGAGTAAGTCATATTCCTGATCCTTTGATTGACACAGAGATCTCAGATAAAACCAAACAGACAAAAACCATTGCCTAGAGTAGTGGTCCTTATCCTGGGACGTGTATCAGAATTATTTAGCTTCTTTGAACACAGATGTTTTTGATTCTACCTCTATTCCAGGAGAAAGTTCCAGAAAAAGACTATTTGAACAGTTGTTCCTTATGTCAACCACCAGATGGTGAAGTTGGCCCAGAACAGCTTGGTTGTACCACTGGGAAGATGGCATCACTTTTATATGCAGACACACACACACACACACACAGGGCAGAGGTGTTCCTAGTTCAGAAGCACTTTTATCTTACTGGTTAAGAGTTCCATTTCCATTAAATCAGTTCCTTTCTGGCTTAGCCCCATTTGGTTTGAACAGAGAGGATCTACCACAGTAACTCTCAAACAAAAGTATAGTCATTCCCTAGTATCTGTGGAGGATACTGGTTCCAGGACCCCCATGGCTACCAAAGTCCACAGATTCTCAAGTTCCTTACGTAAAATGTCGTAGCATTTGCATATAACCCACAGACATCCTCCCATCCATTTTAAATCATCTCTAAATTACTTGTAACGCCTGATACAATGTAAATAGTTCTTATATGTTATCATTTAGGGAATAATGACGAGGGAGAAAGTCTATATTTGTTCAGTCCAGGCACAACCATCCCTTTTTCTTCCTGATTATTTGTAGTCCATAATTGGTTGAACTCACAGATATGGACCCCCAGATACAGAGAGCTGGTGGTGTACCAAAATCCCCTGAGATGCGTGTTAAAAATGTACCTGGGTTTTACTCTCAAGATTTTAAATCCTTAGGACTCTAGGAGGTCTACATTAAAAAAAAAATTTTTTTTAGAAGGAATCTTCTTCGGGTATCATACCTCAGTTCTCCTTATGCAGATTAGTGGATATTATTTTGAAATACGGGCTCAGTGCCTGTAGCTCAGCGGCTAGGGCACCAGCCACATACATCGGGGCTGTCAGGAACCTGGTTTGAACCCAGCCTGAGCCTGCCAAACAACAATGACAACTACAACAGAAAAATAGGTGGATGTTATGTGGGGCGCCTGTAGTCCCACCTATCTGGGAGGCTGAGGCAAGAGAATTGCTTAAGCCCAGGAGTTTGAGGTTGCTATGAGCTATGACTCCAGAGCATTCTCCTGAGGGCAATAAAGTGAGACTCTTGTCTTGAAAAATATATATGTATATGTAATATTACACACACTTAAGCCCGAGAGTTTGAGGTTGCTATGAGCTATGACTCCAGAGCATTCTCCTGAGGGCAACAAAGTGAGAC